TATATTTTGTTAAATAATTTTATAAAAATTTCAAATAAAAATTTAGGTTGCATAGTTATTCTTAAAATGTTATTTTAGGTATTTTAGGATTTTGTTGAGTTTTTTTTATATCAAAATTTCAAAAAATTACTTAATTTCAATTTTTTAATAATCAATAATAATATAGAAAAGATCTAAGATACAAAAGAGAGGGACTAGACTAAAATACTCTTAGTGAGTAACAAATCTATAATTAGGAAGCTCTAATTTTTTTCTAACAACTTCAGGTAAAAGGGTCCTAGGCAGACCATTCCAAGACAAAAACATAGAGGAATTGAGAACTAAAAAAGCTAACAAATCCGCACACTGATTACCTTCTATAAAAATATGAGAAATGTGGAATCTCAAATTCCTAGTTTTGGCTAAAGAATTAATCCATATGGTTCTGACGTACCAATGAACCAAAGAAGGATTATTAACAACTAAAAAAATAAAAGTAGAATCATTTTCAAGTCAAACATTATTCCATCCAAAACAAATAGCAAAATCAATAGCCTTAACAACTCCAAAAAGCTCCGCAAGACTCGAAGAAGAGCAGTCAAACTTTTCAGCAAAACTAAAAACAAAGTCACCAAGTGATTTATGAATAACCCCCCACATGACACCCTATTAGAAGAGAAGGAGTTGTTTGTGTTGCATTTTAACCATCCAACACTCAAATGCTTCCACAAAAATTCAATGATTCTTGGCGCCTTGGGTAGATGCAGCTTGACATTGAAAATCTTGATAATAAAAAACTCATGGATGAAGGAGCTAGCCATTTTGTAGGTAATATTCCCAATGAAATAAACCTAATAAGGATTTGGCTAAGGGACTTCTTCCAGTGCATAAAACCATTATTGAATCTGACTTGATTGTGGGCCCACCAAATACTGCTAATGATATGAACAATGGAAGCTTGAATAATAACTTTGCATAAAGAGCTCGATTCCTATCACAAATTTCCAAAATATTCAAGATATTAGACACAATAGGCAGCTTTGGCATGTTAAAGAACCAGTGCCAAATATAAAGAGCAAAAGAGAAGTGAAAGAAAAGATGTTCCACTGTTTTCTGAATTTGAACCACAAAGACTACACATATAAGGACTATAACAACCTCTCAACGTGAGATTATCATCTGTTGGAAAATGATTATAAAAAACTCTCCAGACAATGAATGCCTTGGAATGAGGAATATCCACATTCCAAATCTGCTTGGACCAAGGTTGGGCTGGAGCAGTATCCGACTTGAATGAATAAGCATCTTTAAGAGTTAAGTCACCAGAACTATAATCTGCTATCAATAGGGATAACAATTTTATCTACAAGCAAAATCAAGTTAAGAGTTTTATTTTTCATATGAATAGGAAAAATCTAAGAGCCATTAATTAAGAAATCAGAAACCAGGGTGTTAAGGTTGATATCATTAGTGTCAGGAATCCTAGAAATCAGTAGAGGACCACACCAAGGTTCAAGCTAAAAATTATTTTTACAAATCTTTCTCCAAGACAATCCTAGAGTTGCTATTAATATCATCCACCTCAATTTTGATGTTTCTCCAAATAGAAGAATCAATATGATACTTGATAGGAGTATAATCTCTGAGCACTTTAGCTTTCAACAAGAGAGTTAATCTCTCGGAAGAGTTCAAAAGATCCCACCAAAGCTTCATGTTGAAAGAATTATTAAGGGTGAGAATAGACCTCAGACCTAACCCTCCCTGCTCCAAAGACTTGCACGCACACCTTTGCCCAAGCCACTGTGACAAGTTTAAACTTCTTGATATCACCATACAAAATGAAAATTTTAATGCATTTCTCTAGCTCTTTAATCAAATATTTGGGACAACAGTAGATAGTAAAATTATGAACAAGCATAAAAGCAATAAAATATTTAACCAATTGAATTCTACATGCAAAACTTAAAAGAGACCCCTTCCACTTGGACAAATTAACTTTAACTTTGTCTAGAATGGGTCTAAGATGTGGCTTAGGCTTACCCTAAAATATAGGAACAACTCAAGTAAGAGAATGGAATATAGCCAATCTTAAACCCCAAATGATTAACAATATGGAATAATCTAGTCTCATTCACAGATCTAGAAAATATGTAAGATTTCCGAGGATTCATCAATTGACTAAAAGAATCAGCATATTTAGAAAAAGACCAATAAGAGAATCAATAGAGCCTTTGTCACCTCAACAAAAAATCATAACATCGTCAGTAAACAAACAATGAGAAGGCACATTAAAACCTCTTGGACCAGGGATAAGCTTAATCTTATTTCGATTAACCATATTAGAAAGGCTTCTATTGGGAACTTCCTCATCAATGGAAAATAGAAGACAAGAGAGGGGATCACCATGTCTGACCCCTCTACCACAATCAAATAAACCATGCATTTTCCCATTGAAAGAAATTGAAATCTTAGCAGATTTGAGGATGATCCAAATCCAATTAGTAAAAGTATCATTAAATCCAAATTACTTAAGAACCCGATCAAAAACAACTATTTTTATGTCTACTTTCATGATTAAATTACCACCAAAGCACTTCTTGTGCTTCAAGCTGACTGCCTCAGAAGTAAGACCTATACAATATTTAATGCATCTCCCATGAATAAAACTTTTTTGCTCTTTTGAGATGATGGAAGGCATAATAAGAGCTAACCTATCGGCAAGAACCTTAGAAATACTTTTAAATATGAAATTAGCTAAAGCAATAGGTCTAAAAAGATCAATTGAACCAGTGTTAAAAGTTTTAGGAATTAAAATCAACATGTTGGAATTAAAGTTAGGCATAATCCTAGAGGAAATGAAAAACTGTTTAACCGCATCAATGACATCCTGGTGAATAACATCCCAATAGAGCTAGAAGAATAAGGCTCCAATACCGTCGGGTCCAGGAGCTCTCTCTTTGATCAAGTTGAAGACAACATCTTTGATTTCAATGTCAGAAGGGATCTCAATAAGTATTTAATTAGTTTCCTAGTTGATGAGGTTGGCAATACAATCTTTGATGAAGTCCACGTCAACTAAAGTGCTCGCACAAGAAGAGAAAAGATTCTTATAATAATCAACCACATGAGAATCAAGAATCTGTTGATTATAGATGATATCACCATCAATTCTATGGAATATTCTTGTCAGCGTTCTTGATTTTAGTAATCATGTCGAAGTATTTGGCGTTTCGCCCCCCCTCCAAATGCCACATTTTAGCTTTTTCTTTCCAAAGTGCTCCTTGTAAAGGGCATCCTTAAGTCCTCTCATGCAAAGCTTTTCCTCAATCTAAAAGCCTCAGAATAGCCATCAACTTGAATCTTGCCTTGCACAATAGTCAATTTCTCCTCTTCATCTTCAACTAAATAGCAAATATTACCAAAAGTGTTTTTATTATAAGTTTTAAGATTATTCTTGAGAAACATAAGACTTTCAGAAAGGACGAACAAATGACAAAATCAAAATCACTAGTGAGTCAAAACTAAAGTAAAACTGAAAAATCTAAATTGAACCGTCCAAAACCATTCAAACAAAAGAACCAGAGTCAATTTTGTTAAATCACCTAGTTCAAAAAGATGCATCAAATTAGCCATTTTTAATTTTTTTTGATTAAGTACATTATATTGTTTATTTTTGGTATTCTATCTTATTTAACTGATGTATTTTTAATTATTTGAACTTTATTTTTAGTTATTATATTCTATTATTTTAACTTTGGTTTGAATTAGTTTAACTATTGTAATTCTTTAATTTTTCAATTATTTTTAGATGAAGGTTGAAATAAAATATACAATTATATTGTGTTATTATATGCACTATCAATATTATTGTGTTATTATATTTATGTGTGACATATCTATGAAATTTAGTTTTATATTATTAGTTTATTGAATAAACGGTTCGATTATAGATTTAATCGATTGAAGCCATTGAGCCTTAAATTAGAAGTTTTACCGATTCGATCTCTAGTCCAATTTTTAAAACATTGCTACACACCCCATATTTCATCTCATTTCTCATATATTTCTAACTCTAATTTTTCTTTCGTGCCACATCTCACTCGTTTGTCATACATTTTTAACTTCAATTTTTCTTTCGTTCCAAAAATTAAACTCAAACACACCTAATTAATTTAACCTAAGCGAATACATATAACTATTATACAATTTATTAAAATGTTTGTTCCACATCAACGACAACGCGCACTACATCTAACCTCGTTTATCATATATTTCTAACTTTAATTTTTCTTTCACACTACATCACATCTCGTTTGTCATACATTTATATCTCTAATTTTTCTTTCATACCAAAACTTAAATTCACACACACCTAACTAATTTAACATAAACATAAATTTACTATTATTATAATATTATTAAAACATTTATTCCGTTGCAACAACTACATACGTCATTTCTCATCTCGTTCGTCATTCATTTCTAACTCTAATTTCTCTTTTACATCACATCTCATCTAAGTCGTCATACATTTCTAACTTCAATTTTTCTTTCGCACCAAAAATTAAACTCAAACAGACCTAATTAATTACACGTAAACGATAATAATTAAACGAGGACTAACCTTTTTCTATAGTTTCAAAACCCTAAAACAAAACACAAAACACAAATTTTGAACCAAGCAATTACCTAATAGGTCTTATGAACAAAACAAAAACCTAGTCAAGGGCCAATTTTCTAAAAAAAAATCCAAGGGCATTTTCGTAAACAAAATTAAAACGGTAGTAAGTGGGTGGGTTTCGAAGTCCAATGTATAATAATCATAGTCAACATCACAAAAATTAAACACTCTCTCTCTCCATTTAGTTCTTGTGACTACTATAAAGAGACACTTCTCCGCAGCTCTGAAAATCCTCTCATATTACACAATTCTCACTTTCTCTTCCCAATTCTCTTCCTCATGAACCCTTTCCCTCTTTCTCTCCACTGATTCTTCCCTATTTCCACCAATCTTCTTCCTCATGGCCACCAACAAATCCATCACCCTCGAAGAAATCAAGAACGAGACCGTTGATCTGGTATCAAATCCCTCACCAACCTTCTCTCTTTTTTTCGATTCTTTTCTTACTCTAACTTTCAAAGATTTCTTACTAATAACAATTTCTGATTCTCAATTTTCTTTGATTTGCAAATTCTATTGTTCTTAATCTTACCATGTTTGCATATAACTTTTCTCCCAGTTTTAATTCAATTTTTTGATCCCTAATTAATTTAACTAAGAGAAATTAAGGAATTAAAAAAAATTAAATAAAATATCTCTAATACCAGGGTTAGTCTCTGATATCAGAGTTAGGCTATGCAGTTGTTTGCAGAGATATTATTTTTTTAATTTTATTTTCCAGCGAATTAGTGGATCTAATCAAACGTGATTGACACAGTTAGGTTAGCGTATTCAATACACTTTATTATATATTTTATTATTTGAATTTCAATTATTATTTTTATTTTATATTATTTTTTTGGTGTTGTTATTATTTTTAACTCTAGATTTGTTTTTATGTGTTATTTATTTTCTACCATGTGTGTAATCGTGTGTGTCTTTTTCTGTGTCTGCGCCTTGTTTGGCAGTGGGAATTTTTTTTAAGTACTTTTCCGTGGTACTTTTTCTTTAAAAAAAATTCAGGTTATTTTTCCATTAACTGATAAACGGTTTTCATAGTAACTCTCGCGCATTTATGATTTTACGATCCTTATTTCTGACACAATAGGGTCCATGTTTTTTTTAATTGGACCGTTTTGCCCTTAGCTTCAACCTCTTGTGTACGGTTTTCAATAAACACTGTTGCTTTCTTAATGGGAATTTGTCCTATGCTCTTTCTTTGGGAAGTGATTCCGTTTTCTGATTAAAAAATTGATTTTTTATTTTTTTACAATTAAAAAAAGGGTATGTGTGATGTATTTATTGTATTGTATCCTCTTGGGCAAGTTATTGTGGAAACAAAAATGATTTTTGGTGTATAATAATGTAAACAAACGGGGCCTAAGATGTATGTGAAAGCAACTGTGACAAGGTGTCAACACATGGGTTGCTAGGTGGAAGTGTCTCTCTTGTGAGATAAGACTCTGTTTGGTTTTTGAGCGGTGATGCGTTAGTCAACGCTTTTTGTGATTGGTTGTTGGCGTTTGATCTACGTGACCACCACCACTTGCTTTTTATCTTTGATTCAACGGTTGTTAGCTACACAGTTCTAATTTATTAGTATTGAAAATACTTCTTCTTTTGACAAACACTAAAAATGAATCTATTTGATTTTGTTTCTATAAATATTTTTTGAAGAAGTAGAAATTTATGTATTGCTTTTAATTGAATCGGTTTTGAATTTTTTAAGTGATTCTGTTTGATTTTGCTTCTATAAATATACTTTTTAATGAAGTAGAAATTTATGTATTGCTTTAAATTGAATAGGTTTTGAATTTTTTAAGTGATCCTGTTTGATTTTGCTTCTATAAATATTTTTTAATGAAGTAGAAATTTATGTATTGCTTTAAATTGAATCGGTTTAATATGAAGTTTTAAAAAAATTAGGTTAATAAATAGAAATAGAAGGGAAGCAGACAATAATTGGTTTTGAATTTTTTAAGTGATTCTGTTTGATTTGGCTTCTGGGTTTTTAAATTTTTAGTAAAAAAATTTTAGTAAAAAAATGGTCTTTCTCTTAATAAATACTCCTATTTTTCAACTAATGATGACATACTAAAAACAGAAAAATGAACAAAAGAAGAAACAATGCATTCATGAAGCTTTGACAGAGAAAAAGGAACAAAAGATGGCTGAATTGTAATAAAGAAGTTAATCAATTTACAACATCTTTTCTTGTTGTGGTATATGCTAGTGACAATGTGATGTTATGCATTAGAATGTAGGAAAGTATCAAATTTTTTGATACAATTTGTTCATTTGCAGGAACATATTCCTGTTGAGGAAGTGTTTGAGCAATTGAAATGTACGAAAGAAGGTTTGTCCTCGGAGGAAGGAGCCAATCGGCTTCAAATATTTGGACCAAACAAGCTAGAGGAGAAAAAGGTTCCTTTCTTAATGATACATTAATTAATGGTTAACATGTTGAAAATATACAATTACTAATGCAGTTGCTGATTGGTAATAATTTAACAACACAGGAAAGCAAGCTTCTCAAGTTTCTTGGGTTCATGTGGAATCCTCTGTCATGGGTCATGGAAGCTGCTGCTTTGATGGCAATTGGTCTTGCAAATGGTGACGGAAAGCCTCCGGATTGGCAAGATTTTGTCGGTATTGTTTGCTTGTTGGTGATCAACTCCACCATCAGTTTCATTGAAGAAAACAATGCCGGTAATGCTGCTGCAGCCCTTATGGCTGGTCTTGCTCCTAAGACAAAGGTAATAAATTGAATTCTGTGTCTGTGTTCTGCACCAAATAATTAGGTAGACATATGAATCAATTGATAAATATTTGTGAGGCCTACGAGGCCTTTTAATGTTTCTCATTATTAAGAGGAAATGTGTTTTAATGAATGGTTTGCAAGTGTCTCCCTCCCTGGTCGAATCATCAGAAATGCGAAACGTCTTATATATGTCATTTGTTGAAATTTGAAAAACAAAACTAAATGGTTTATAAGCTCTGAATTTATTGTTTTGCTCCATTGTTATATGCTATTGAGCTGTTTAAGCATTTAGAAATAACAAGCTCGCTTTATGGACTGACCCAAAATTGCCACACTTTTGCAGGTTCTTAGGGATGGTAAATGGTCTGAGCAGGAAGCTGCAATTTTAGTCCCTGGAGACATCATTAGCATCAAACTAGGTGATATTGTTCCAGCTGATGCTCGTCTTCTTGAAGGTGACCCTTTAAAGATTGATCAGTCTGCTTTGACTGGAGAATCACTTCCTGTGACTAGAAGTCCTGGGCAAGAAGTTTTCTCTGGCTCAACTTGTAAGCAAGGAGAAATTGAAGCTGTTGTCATTGCAACTGGTGTCCACACATTTTTCGGGAAAGCAGCTCACCTTGTCGACAGTACCAACCAAGTTGGACATTTCCAGAAGGTGCTTACCGCAATTGGAAACTTCTGTATTTGTTCCATTGCAGTTGGTATGTTGGCTGAGATCATAGTCATGTACCCAATTCAGCACCGCAAGTACAGAGACGGAATTGACAACCTTTTGGTCCTTTTGATCGGAGGAATTCCTATTGCTATGCCCACTGTGTTGTCTGTAACAATGGCTATTGGTTCACACAGGCTCTCTCAGCAAGGTGCTATTACCAAGCGAATGACTGCTATTGAAGAAATGGCTGGTATGGATGTGCTTTGCAGTGACAAGACTGGTACACTTACACTTAACAAGTTGAGTGTTGACAAGAACTTGATTGAGGTCTTTGAAAAGGGTGTGGACAAGGAACATGTGATGCTTCTTGCTGCAAGGGCTTCCAGGATTGAAAATCAGGACGCAATAGATGCCGCCATTGTTGGAACTCTAGCAGATCCAAAAGAGGTAACTTCTCTATAAAATTGCATCAATTGCTTTAGTTTGACATGCTGTTAGAAAAATGTTTATATGACTGAACTTTTGAACAAATATTTTCCCTGTGCAGGCAAGGGCTGGAGTAAGAGAGGTTCATTTCTTACCATTCAACCCAGTTGACAAAAGAACTGCCTTGACTTACATCGATAGCAATGGAAATTGGCACCGTGCAAGCAAAGGTGCTCCGGAGCAGGTAAGCCAGTGTTTCTGATTGTTCAGTATACCTGTATGATTTCTAGTTATGTACCAATATGAACTTATTTTTGTTGTGAACAGATCATGAATCTGTGTAACCTTAGGGAAGATGCAAAGAGGAACATCCATGCTATTATTGACAAGTTTGCAGAGAGAGGTCTTCGTTCTCTTGCTGTTTCTAGACAGGTATTTTATAGCTAGTATTCATGTATGAAGTTTGACTTGAAAATTATATTTCTTTTCACTGATCCCCTTGGTCTTCTGTGCTATTCTGCAGGAGGTTCCTGAGAAAACTAAAGAAAGTGCTGGTGGTCCTTGGCAGTTTGTTGGTTTGTTGTCACTGTTTGACCCACCTAGGCATGACAGTGCTGAAACTATTCGAAGAGCTCTTCATCTTGGTGTCAATGTTAAGATGATTACTGGTAACTATTCTCATCCATTCTCCCCCCCATCTCTCCCAAATTTTTTCAATGACATCAAGCATGCTCAAGTTAATATATGTACTTTTGTTCTGTTTTTAAGGTGATCAACTGGCCATAGCAAAGGAGACCGGGAGGAGACTTGGGATGGGAACTAATATGTACCCATCTGCTACATTGCTTGGTCAAGACAAAGATGCAAGTATTGCTGCTCTTCCAGTTGAAGAGCTGATTGAGAAGGCAGATGGATTTGCTGGGGTATTTCCAGGTTCGTGCAGAACCATTTTCACCATGATGATTTTGCCCCATTTACTTTCTATGAGATTACTTTCTATTTCTCTGCTTACCATATTCTATTTATACTCACAGAGCACAAATATGAAATTGTAAAGAAGTTGCAAGAAAGAAAACACATCTGCGGAATGACTGGAGATGGTGTCAACGATGCTCCGGCTTTGAAGAAGGCTGATATTGGAATCGCAGTTGCGGATGCTACGGATGCCGCAAGAGGAGCTTCTGATATTGTATTGACAGAACCTGGATTGAGTGTCATCATCAGTGCAGTCTTAACTAGTAGGGCAATTTTCCAAAGGATGAAAAACTACACGGTTGGTTGCTGTCTGCTTTCTGCACAATCAATATATTTTGTTCTTGTTGTTTCTCAACTAACACTGTTTCCATTATTTTCTTTGCATTGCAGATCTATGCAGTATCTATCACTATCCGTATAGTGGTACGTAAATAATAATGTTATCCCTATATGTAACTTTATCATGAACAGAGATGAAATAATATTTATATGTTGAGTTTTCATTGTTTTTTCATTTGAATGCAGTTTGGATTCATGTTCATTGCACTGATCTGGAAATTTGACTTCTCACCTTTCATGGTCTTGATTATTGCCATTCTTAATGATGGTAAAGCTCTTTGCAGATTTTTCTCTGAATTATACTTGAATTCCCTTCATGATTTTGCTGATGGATAATATGATAGTCTGACATATTAATTTTTATACTACTATCAGGAACAATCATGACAATTTCAAAAGATAGAGTGGTTCCATCTCCCTTACCCGATAGCTGGAAACTGAATGAAATATTTGCTACTGGGATTGTTCTTGGAGGTTATTTAGCTCTGATGACTGTAATATTCTTCTGGGCAATTAAAGAAAATCATTTCTTCCCTGTAAGAAATAATTAAATTGGCCTATCTATATTCACGTTCTTGTTTTGTATCAAATATATAAATGCTCCCTGATTATTTTTCTAGGACAAATTTGGAGTTAGGCACCTGGGTCATGATGAAATGATGTCTGCTTTGTATCTTCAAGTCAGTATAGTTAGCCAGGCTTTGATATTTGTGACTCGTTCTCGTGGTTGGTCGTTTCTTGAACGCCCTGGAGCCCTATTAGTCATTGCTTTCCTCATTGCTCAGCTGGTAAGGAATGCAATGCTTCAATATTTTCCTGTGTTAAGAAAGGGTGGTGAAAGAATAATATAATGTTTTAAACAATCTTGTCTTGTTTCAGATTGCGACATTAATAGCAGTATATGCCAACTGGGGATTTGCAAAGGTACAAGGAATTGGTTGGGGCTGGGCAGGAGTTATCTGGCTCTACAGTATTGTTTTCTATATTCCACTCGACGTGATGAAGTTTGCCATCCGCTACATATTGAGTGGCAAGGCATGGAACAATCTCCTAGACAACAAGGTATTGGTTCATTCTTCAACTAATTAACTAACCAACTCAGTGTTTCTTAAAATGGTGAATGAAGGAAGAATTCATGAATTGTTTGTTTGAAAATGTGACAGACTGCCTTCACCACCAAGAAAGATTACGGAAAAGAGGAGAGAGAAGCTCAATGGGCACATGCTCAGAGGACTCTACATGGACTTCAACCACCAGAGAGTTCTGGTATTTTCAACGAGAAGAGCAGTTACAGAGAACTCTCTGAGATTGCTGAGCAGGCCAAAAGAAGAGCTGAAGTTGCAAGGTAAGAAAGAACCTATACATATATAATCATCATCATCATTACTATATATCGATACAAAAATTGATTCGATTTGATCTATGCTTTATTACTTACAGGCTTCGTGAGCTGCACACACTCAAAGGACATGTCGAGTCAGTAGTGAAGCTAAAAGGTTTGGACATTGATACCATCCAGCAGCACTACACTGTGTGAGAATCTATCTAAAATTGTAGATACCAGATTGGCCAAAGTTGAACATTGTAATATGTGAATGAAAGCAATAAAAGTCAAAGAGGAGGCCTAACTACTTTAGTGCTTACCAGGAATGGAGAGAGGAGAGTGTGAACCTTTTGATATTTAGCCTAGTTTTTTCCTGTGTACTTTTAAGTTCTGCCTAAATGGATCGTCTTTGCCTTCTATTTGCTTCCATGATAAGAGCAAAAACTAGTTTCAATTTCGTTTCCCTTAAGTAAATTAGTTTCAGTTTCAGTCCTTGACTTTCTCATGTTTTTTTGTTATCATATATGGTTTTGGGTGTTTCCTCATTTTAATTGTATGCCACATGGCAGTCATCATATAATGTTGATATTGGGATTTTTTTTAAGGTGGGTGAATAAAGTGGTTTTGTATGGTTTTTGTGACATCTTTCAAAATCAAACACCTTAATGTTTGATGTTTGTATTTTAAAATTTAATAAAAGGATTAAAATGCTTGCAATTAGGGTCCACAAAGGTGTCTCCCATGCCATGAGTCACTTCCGATAAAGAGGATCTTATGTTTAAGGTGCTAGTGATGTAGATGCATATGAAAGAAGGATAGTTGGAATTCTTAAACATTATTTATCTACAATAGTTTTTTTTTTTTGGGTCCACTTATTTTGGACATATTATTCGAACAAACCCAAAATAAATGGAGTATATTAGCAAGTGAATCCCTCTGTGTCCGTAGAATATTTTTAAATTTGTCTCTGGCTTACTATAAATATTTTAAAAAGGTTATAGACAATGACAAGTTGATAATTACAGATAACCACTCACTATTAATTGAGTCTTACTATTGTATAGTTTATTATCAATTTCATTCTTATATTCAAACACTTATCATCAATTTAATCCTTAATATTAATACTGAAGGAATAAAGTACAATTTGAACAAGATTTTAACTTGCCACCTAAACCTAACAACACCTTTCATTTATGCTTAATATTTAAATTGTCCATGAACAAATTTGAAGGTGGCAAAAACGAAAATTTCGATAGATTTTTTAAAATTTTTGAAAGTTCATTTATATATTACTGGTATGATTTTTTTTTTAAAATTGTTTAACTTTACGGAAAATTTCGGAAAGTATTGTAGTATACTGGAAATTTCGAAAAGTATATTAATCTATCGGAAATTTTAAAATTTCTGTAGTGTGAAAATGAACTATCGATTTTTTTTGAAAAATCTAGTATTTTTTAGAAATTTTTGGTAAACACAAAAATAAATTTCAATGTTTTAAGGGTATAAGAGTAGTAGCACCCATATTAGGGGATGTCAGGTTTACTTTTTAGGGGTGACATGTTAAATCCTCTATTTAAATAAAAAGAAATTTTTTACTGAACAACTATAAGGATGATGGGTATTGTATGAGAAACAATGTTTGACGCCGAAGAATCAACATAGAAATAAAATTAAGTATAACATAAATGAAGATGTTGTATTGGATGTATGATAAGATTAGACAAAACAAAAATTAGAAATGAGAATATTAAAGAGGTGTTGATGTAACATTTCTAGTAGAGAAAAATTATGAAAATAAATTTAGGTGGTCTGAGCATTTAGAGAGAAGACATGAATATTAGTTATGTTATAAGAAGAATAAATTATATGAGAAGTAGTCGCAATAGATGTAGAAAAATTTAGAAAACTCATAGGAAAACATAAGATATTGTGTTGGAGATTTGCTCCAAAATATGAACAAGAAGATGAAAATTACATGGTGATAGTTATACAAAATAAAATTCAAAGTTTGTTCACACTAAAGTTCGATTCGCCCCATCAATTTAAGAAAATTAAATGAAAATGGGTAAACCAGAAAATCACCTGTACTTTAGAAATCTTGACATCAATTTTACATTCATTCACATTTGTCGAAACACCATTAAAGATACCATTCTTACATACCCTATAAATAGACCATACAACATATCAAATCATAAAAAAATCACTTCTATACTTAGCCCTACAATCTAAAGAGATGAAAAAATCAAACAAATTAGGGGTGGTAAACAAGCATGTCCGTCTCGCAAAAGCGCACAAAAAAGGGGCGGGACATGCATAGTTGAGGGTGCGAACTTTAAATGTTTACGCGTCCCGCTAAAAAATAAGGGTGAGGTGTGGGGAGGGTCGCAAGCACAATACCATTTAAGCCTAAAATTGAAGAAATATGTTAATGTTTGCGCTCGCAAAACTCATAAAAAAATGGGCAGACACATTAGAAGGTGCAAGCTTAAACCCCTATGCAACCAACAACCACAATTACTACTCTCTCCTTAGCAGTATCACAGTCCTATCAGTATGCTAATTAACATGTCAAGATATGTTTAATAACACCAGGACACACATAAAATACTAACACTTTACTCTCCCTTTTTAGCCAAAACTTGACAAAAATTGGAGTAAATGTAAACAAAATGGGAAGCACACATATTACACACAGGCACAAAACACACACGGAAGCACAAAATAACAGATGGAAGCACAAATTAGAAACACGCACTAGATGATGGAACCAAACAAACTTCACCAACTTCAGATGATCTTCTACCTCTTGCACCTGTCAAAGATTCTTCTGCACTTCTTGGTGTTGTCACCAGCCCTTTGCAGAGATCCTTTGTCCCATCCAATAGCAACTTGCTTATGCTTCATAAGCATCAAAACATAGAGGAAAAATGTAGTATCAGTTTCACTCCTCCATGATTGTAATTGCTATAACTTCTTAATAGTACAAGTTCCAATCCCACTGCTTACAACAGTAAGTTATTCCTTGTTATCCATATGCTCCAGAGTAATAACCTTTCCTTCAACAATATTCTTGATAAGTTGCTTATGACTACCAAGATTCTTGTTCCATCCATGTTGAATGAAATATTTGAGACCATTCAGGTCTTCAGCAAATAATGTCAAGACATAATGTTTGACATTATTATCCTTCAGCATCTGGTCTATTCATATCAGCTGAGAACAATCTCTCCTTATTCCACCATACTTAGATACAATAGTATTTCCAGAGACACAAATCAAACTGTTTCTTAGATACAAATACCTACTGACCCACTGTGACCCACTACTGATACAATTCAAGATTCTTCTTTCTTGAATAGTAGAACACATCCTTGGTTAAAGTTTAGAAACAAGACATGAATTTGCAATGTATGCTTCATTTGAGTGTGTTGTATTGATCTTATTGACATGATCTTTTTGAACTCTAACTTCAGAGTGATTTAGATCAACACTTGTGGACTCACAGATAACTTCTTTTTCTTGTCTCCTCAATCTGCACAAACGATACTCCAACATTGTCTTCAACATCCCTTTCCTTTCTAGAGAAAGAATTATCAATTATCACACTTGTGGATTCCATAACATCTTCAGTTTTGGATTTAAATACTCTATAAGCTATTCTATTTGTAGAGTAATCCAACAATATTCCTTCATTACTTATGAGATTTTCCTTGCCATTTTTTATCTTTGTTCACTAAGACATAACATTTAATTCCAAAGGGATGAAAATGATTGATTGTAGGCTTTAATCCAGTCCATATCTCATATATAGTAGTTGAAGTACCTCCTCTCAAAGTGACCCTATTATAAATGTAGCAAGAAGTACTCATAGCTTCAGTCTAAAAATCCAATGGTAATTGCTTGACGGAGAGCATAACTCTAGCTGGTTCCTGTATAGCCCTAGCCTTTTACTCAACAATTCCATTTTGCACAAAAGTGATGGAATGAGAAAACTCATAACTAATACCTTAAGAATCACAAAATTCAGTGAATTTTGCATTCATGAATTCCTTGTCATGTTCACTTATGATCTTGATAATCACACTTTTCTTCTCCTCTTGAATATTTTGACACAAATATTTGAATACTTCAAAAACATCTACTTTTTCTCTAATAAATTCATCTAAGTATACCCAAAAAAGTCATCAGTAACCACATAGACATACCTTTTTCCTCCCAGGATATCTATCAGCATAGGTCCCATTATATCTATATGAAGAAGTTTCAACACTTTGGACGCAGTCTGATGTTTCAACCTCGGGTGTGAAATCATGGTTTGCTTTCTAATTTAACACTCACCACACACTTTTCTTTTCCAATTTTGAGATCTAGAATTCCCTTGATAGCTCCTTCAGACAAAATCTCCATCATTCCTTTTATATTAATATGTCCAAGTTTCTAGTGCCATATCTTTACTTCTTCTTCATGAGTTATTAAGCATGTGGAAGAATAAGCAGTTATCTGAGATTTCCCTAGATAACAATTGTCTTTAGATCTAATTCCCTTCATTAGGATAACATCCCTTTTATCTTTGACCATACATTCTGACCTTGAGAAGTAGACTAGTAGACCTTGGTCACACAATTAACTAATGCTAATGAGATTAGCAGTTAACCCTTTCACATAAAGAACATCTTCTAAACAAGGAGAACCAACACATATCAACTTACCAACCCCTTTAATTTCACCATTAAACCCATCACCTAATCTTACAAACCCTGTGAGATGAGGCCATTCACCAATAACTTCTAAATTCATGTCATGTGTCTAGAACATCCACTGTAAAAATACCAGTCTTCTCCATTTGAGTCTCTTAAAGAAGTGTGAGCAATAAAGTTCATATCCCTATTTTTAACTCCTCTTTTTTCCTACTTGATCAGTCTTAGAATGAACTGAATATTTTTGATCTCCATATAGTTTATAACATAAGGGCTTAATATGGACATGCTCACCATAATAATGACATATCAACTTTGAAGATTGGAATATGGATAATGTTTCATCATATGTCTGCCAGGATGTTGTAACATGTTGTTGGACATATTGATCATTCTCTTCCTTTCAGGAGGAAAGGACTTCTTTTCAGACATTCTTTTTTTATTATCAGACTGATAATCAACTTCTGTATCTCAACCCTATTTTACAATATTAGCTTTACTATTCATCTC